CTTTCCCTGCACTAGTCAGTCATTTGTAGAGGTCTGTGACGGGCGGTACAGACCCCACTCCACAGTCCAAGGAGCGGTGAAACGGTACTGGGCCAAGAAGACCCCGCCCCTCAGCAGCTGCCAGGTGTGCTCCCAGTGGAAGACGGGTATAACTGGGAGCTCTGGCGATCCAGCCAGGGGAAAGTGGCGGAGAGGCTGCAAGAAGACAGGCAGGCAGGAACTACTGAGGCAGAGAAGCCTACAGAAGGACCGGGACTGAATACGGCTCACCCGGGATCCCCCTTCCCCCGACTAAACAAAGGGGCAACTGGACTGTGAGGGTGAACTGGGAAGCGTCTCTTCCCCCAGCTGATGCCCTGAACAACCAAGACAGCAAGGCTGGGGCCACGTCCCATACTGAAGTGAAACAGGGAAGGTAGGAAGTGCCTCGGGGAGGCTGATCCGGAGTGGCCACCAGACAGGACTGTGCTGCCCCTCGCCTCTCTCCCTAGGGTCCTGAGCTGGGACCTAGTGGAGACAAAGGGCCTGAATTCCCCTATCCCTCCCTCTGCCCCTGGCACTGGAGAGTTCCTGGAGAACTCTGTGAGGAAAATGAACTGAGCTCTGTGAGGGAAATGACCGGAGCCTCCAGGCTAGGAGAAACTGGCCGCAGCCTGACCACCAGGGCAGCTGGTCCCTGAGCACAGTGAAAACACAATGAGGGGCTGCTTGGGTGTGTGAATGGAAAACGAGTGCCTTTTATCACTCAACATTGGCCCCCTCCACACAATCAGAGACACTCTCCTCCAGAGGAGGCAAACGAGATGCAGGCCACTCAGGGTGGGAGTGTGACAAGAGTGGAGGGCTTCTGTCAGAGAAGCGGTGAACCCCTTCGTTCAGCAAAAAACCCCAAACAACGAGCCCACACTGAAATGAAGATATTACCTGTACGCAACCGCATCTAGAAAATCCCGGGCACTGAAGTCATACAGCTTATAACCCTCTCGCTTAAAGGCCAGTACAGCATTCGGACCAAGCCAAACGCTGCCGTCCATCCGCGGTGTGAAATGAACCCCCAGAAAAGGAAAACGAGGATCAGGAACCTGCAGAGAAAACGAAGCCTGTCACCCCATTCAAAACAGATTAGCGAGACCACAACATGAATGGTTTGATCCAATAATACTCTCGGGAATGCGAAAGTCAGTCACTTCCCAGGAGAGTGATAGAATGCAGGGAAAACATTGATGATTTACTGTGGACTTAGAAGTTAGTCAGAAGATAAACACTTTTTTCTCTTCCATTATTATTATAGCCTTTCAAGATGATCCTCACAGGGGGCAAGTTATCAACATAATGTCTGGTTTTCAGTATTGCTGGTAAAAATCAAGGAAATATATTTTGTACCTGGGCATCTCTCCTGAAAGTTGGCTGCCGTTAATTCTAATTTAAACAATTCAATGCTACAATGGCTGTCATTATGTTCTTATGTCATATTTTTAAAAGACAACCCAAAGCTGTGAAGTTGTATCAGTACCCGGTTCACACTGTGAGACGCACAGAATAATACCTACTGGATAAATGTTTCCTTTAACCATATAGCATTTTTCAGGCTTTAACACCAAGTAGTCTCCACGGAAGGGCACAATGCGAGGCTCACGACTGCACCCGCTGATTTCGGACAGGCGGTCCGAGTAAAGTCCAGCACAGGTCACAATATGTTGACAGCGGATTTCCTCGCCCTGCCAAAAAACAAACCCCACAAATTCAACACATGAAGAAGGTGGGGATAAAAATAAACCCATAAGCCACAAAAACCAAGCCAGGAACAAAAAGAAGAGCAATCATGCCTTTGAAAAGTCAGATACTTTGCGTGCTAGACATGGGTAACATTTTGGTAGCTTATTTTTATTTAACTCTTTAAAATATTCTTCCCTCTTTCCCCACCCTGATGGAGAAGGCCTTTTCAACTGGCTTTCTAAAACTGTAATACAGCAAGTAGCTTAAAGAAAGCGGGAAGAATCCTTATACGAAAAATAACGAATGCGTCAAATGATGGATTGCCTTCCTCAATTGCAATGCATGGAACATAGAGGCCTGCCCTGTAAAATACACAGAGACCCATCACATGGAGATTAGAGATTTAGATCTTCCAGGACCAGAACGTCTTCCCTTGGAATTTCTCCAGTTCACTCAGCTATCAGGACTACTGGTGCCATTCCGGCCTGTAGAGTGTATAGGGGTGGGTGTTTATAACCAACCATCATAGCTTTGACTAAATAAGGCCTTTTTTTTTTTAAAGGGATCTCTCTACTCTCAAAAAATCACTTTCACTCCATGAGCTGGGAGAAGCTACAATTCTAAAGGCAGTGTCAATTCATAGTTTGCATTTTCAAGCGCTCTATGTAAAACTGTACATTCAACACTGTATAGAGTGTTGCACAACCTTTTTCCCGGCACGACCCCTGGGGGGGGGGAGCATGGCCCCTTTAAATGCCGCTCCGCTCGCCTGCCACACTGGGAAAAAAATGGCGGACAGCCTAGCGCTGTGACCCCCCCACAAGACAGCCGCGACCCCCACAGGTTATGCATTGCTTGTAAAGAGGAAAAGAAATTTGGTATTACTCTGTTTTCAGGTGCTGGATTGCTTATTCTTATTTACATTAAAATGCTAACTATCACTTTTAAAGCTATTGGTGGAGGAAACATTTTTGGGGAGAGGGAGGGTTTCTGTAACTTTAAAAAACAAACAAAAATACCTTTCAACTCATGAAAATGGAAGGGGTACAACTAGAAGCAACATGAATGTAGCTGCAATAATAATTACAACCCATGCTCCCTTTTTAATTGTACTATATAGCGTTCTAGTTACAAAAAATATTTCCTTGTAATTTTTAATTGATTATAGCGGAGGCAGGAGCTGAAAGGCAAACCTGAAAAAAATTTCTGTACAACCATACCTCATAATAAGACTGCACTAAAATACCATCAGAGGGGTAGCCGAGTTTGTAACTAGAAAAACTTAAAAAACAACGAATTGTCTAGCAGTAGCTTAAAGACTAACAAAACATGTAGATGGTACCAGAAATGTAGCCGTGTTAGTCTGGGGTAGCTGAAGCAAAATGCAGGACAATGTATTGTCCTGCATTTTGCTGTAGATGGTACCATGAGCTTTAGTGGGCACAACTCACTTCTTCAGATGACTGGAGTATTAAAAGTCCAGGTCCAAGAATAAATAAGAGAAGGGGGGGGGGAAGAGAGGAGGAATAAAAGAAGAAAAAAGAGATTGTTCAAATAGTTACAAGAGGCTGATAAGAACAATTAGCACCTTCACTGTTTGTTTGGTTAAGTCATTAGGATGTGGAAGGTAGTGTTTTTAAGTTTTTCTAAAATAACATGTCAGACAAAAATCTATAATGAGATAATTGAAGATTAGCACTACAAATTTTCTCCGCAGGGCATTTACATATAAACATTAAGTCTAAAATAGGTTATCAGCCAGAATTAACAACTCATGATTATGATTATTGAGAAACACACTGGTAAGGCACCAACTGGAAACTAAGTGTGATGCATTGAACGTAAATATAAGACGTTTAAAAATAGCAGAGAACAAATCAGGAAAAAAACACCCAGAAAATTGAGGAATCTGACAAAGAGGGAAACCCAGTCACCTTCCAAATAAAATAATTCAAGAACAGTTTCAACAAAGACAAGTGGGGTGTTTGGAAGGCACAAACAAACAAGACAAAAGGCCGAAAATTATCAGAGACCAGTCAACTGAATGAAACATTCAAGCATGATGTATTCTTTTTATCGCTGACAAACAACAGTAACATCTTAACCTTATCCTAGCCACCTGTGTACCATGTCATTTTGCTTTCACAAACAGATAATGCATTTTCTAGCACAGCATGTCCAATGTTTTAGTGGTTTCTGAATTACTTGATTAATTTTTGACAGCATGGCGGTAACTCTGCTGAAGAAAAGAAGCAGATTTTTTTCTATTAATCAATTAAACAGGAGGCTTGGTTCTTACCTTAGAGTTTCTAACAACAACTGGATATTTCATGCCTGCAATAGAATTAGATGAAAAGGGGTTAACAGAATTCATGCAAGAAAGAAAACTGATGGTACAGTCAACTTTCCAGGACTGGAGTCCAAGTGAAGAGCTTCATGCTCCGGAGCAAGCATTGTTTGGATGGGGTTCAGAAATAAAAACCTAAGGTTTCTGGTTTCTTGGTATACTGTATTATCCCTTTTCACATTTTCCGGTCTATATCTGAAGTAGACCCAGTTTGCTCTCCAAGATAGAGGCAAAAAACACTGTTATAAGCATGTGCACCTAATATTCAGCTGCCTCAGCTTTATCCTAAGAGAAAAACTTTTTTCACCTAAAAGAGAGTCCTAACTATATCCACTTGGAAATTGTAACTTTTCTTTTGAAAGGTGATCTGCCCTGGAAAAGAGAGGGCTTGTTCAATCTGATGAAATATCCATCTGACATCATTTTGTCTTGGGGCTAAATACGTCCTTAATAAAAGAGAGCTTAAAAAATACGGGAAGAAAAAGGAGCTAACGTACTTTTAGTTACGGTAAAGGCCTTGGGGCAAAATTTGTTATGAGAATAGACTGGAACCTTACAAGAAGAGGAGGGAGTGCTCACCATCTTCACTTTCTGGAGGACTTTCTTTAGCCATCTCCATGCCTGATGCTTCAAAATCAGTCAAGACGGTCCCTCCCATTTCCTGGAAATCTTCAGCATAAGACAGGGCCACTTGTCTATAATTCACAATGCCAGTGTATGGAGAATCAATGGCCATCAGCCCCTGAAATGGTATCAAATGAGTTACAGAAAAACGAACAGTGGGGTGTGTAACTAAAGACGCGTGTCTCTAAACGGCTCTCAGTCATAAACCAGGTTATTTAACTTGTGCTTCCAGCGTTACATAATCCTGCACCACAGACTGTGCAATATAACGTGTAGGTAGCCCCATTGGGCTTTAGTGCTTCCCGTGACTAACAGCCAATTACATCACCTCCGCCATGAGTTACGCCCTGAGCTGACTGTCGAAACCATTAGAAATCCCCCAAATTAGACTCTCCTAACCCAGAGAATAACTAGCCCTTGATCTGTCATGAGCCCAGACAAAGCAGGCGAAATTACTTGCACATTGTTATCTTTGCATTGCAGGGACTGAGTTTCCTGTGTAACTGATTTCTTCCAGCGCACTGCTAAGGAACACATCTATGCCTTAGCGCTCCATCTGTAAAACAGGGATAACAATACCTCCCCACCTCACAGCGATGTTAGGAGAAATACATCAAACACTGTGAGATTATCAGAAACTGCAGATAGATAAACAGAGTAAGATCCACAACCACAGTGCAGTTTTAAGTTTCCTTTTGATTAATTTAAAAACAGCAAATAGTTTAGTAGCATTTTAAAAACTAACAAAATATGTAGATGGTATCATGAACTTTTGTGGGCACAGCCCACTTCTTCAGATGATTTCTTTGTTCATCTGAAGAAGTGGGCTACACCCACGAAAGCTCATGATACCATCTCCATGTTTTGTTAGTCTTTAAAGTGCTACCAGACTATTTGTTGTTTTTTAAGTTTTTCCTGTTACAGACTACCGTATTTTCCGGCGTATAAGACAACATTTTATACTAAAAACCATCCCACAAAAATCGGGGGTCGTCTTATACGCTGGGTATAAACATACTGTAGCTTCGGCTACATACAGAACATCCCTGTGCTGATACTGTATGTACCGCGCTGAGCCAATCACGGCAAGCGGCGTCATCTATTAATGCATACAAAGCCTGCTCGGATTGGCTGAGTCAGAGAGGTGGGCTATTACAACCTTTGCTACATATTACAAGTATGTAGCCGATGCTACAGTACTGTATTAGGGCACATCCAGCGGGCTGGTGTTATTAAATGGTGTTGCCTCGGAAGGGGGGGTAGTCTTATACAGTGAGTATAGGCCAAAACCTATGTTTTAACTGGAAAATTAGGGGGTCATCTTATACGCCCAGTCGCCTTATACGCTGGAAAATACGGTAACTCAGTGACCCCTCTGAAGCTTTTGATTAATGTTGTTCATATATTTAATATCCTGTGCAATGTGCTCTTTATAAATAACCACTAGTGGTCCACAGACCACACTTTGAGAACCACTGGTCTAGTGGGACAGAGGCTGGAGAATGGGGAGATGAATTTATGTCAATGATAGGCTGCATGGAAACAGATCACTCAAATTTAGACCATGGAAACAATTTTCTGAACTGGGATCTAACCCCTTCCACCTTGTTTCTTGCTTTCGATGACATTTAATCTGCAGAAGGAGGGAGGCATCTGGAGGAGGTTCTGATTTCTTTACCCAAGAAAGAAGGAAAGTATTATGAAAAGCACGACAAGAACCGGGATCCCAAGGACCGGTGTAGAAGGCTAGGGGAGAAGGTCAGGGCCCCTTCTCAACTCCAGTCAAATCCATCGGGTTTTATATCTCATCACCGCAGGATCTGAGCATCTTAGTATAAAATCAATGGCCATAGTAAAGTCCTTGTTCTCTTCCCTTTTGGGGGTAAAAACTCTACGTAGGGAAGGGTTTTTTTATGGGAGGACAGGACTTTGTTGGGTGCAAGAAGAAATGGGCTAAAACTGCAGCAAGGGAGATTTAGGTTGGACATTAGGAAAAACTCTCCAACTGTCCAGGTGATTAAACACTGGAATAAATTGCCGAGGGAGGTGGTGGAATCTCCATCTCTGGAGATATTTAAGAGCAGGTTGGACAGACACCTGTCAGGGATGGTCTAGATGGTGCTTGGTCCTGCCATGAGGGCAGGGGACTGAACTCGATGACCTCTCGATGTCCCTTCCAGTTCTCGTGATCCATGATTCTGTGATTCTAAGAAGGAGCCAGTGGTGGAAATTTCAAAGAGGAGGGTTAAGAAAATATGTCCTAAAAATACACCTAGTATCATTTTTTTCAAGTACGCAGGGTTGGTTCTGCACTATGAATGTATTTATTTTTGCTGGTAATTTTGATACCACTGGGATTTCAGGCTTTCCATTAAACACATCACCCTCCTGAGACAGCCACAATGGGCAGCCTCATCTAGGGTTTATGTTACCAAGACCAGTTGGGTAAATTAACGCTTTTCATTCCATTTAAGGACAGGGCAACTTACTCTGCAAAAAGGCTCCTTTTCTTTTATTTCTCTTGTGCTGATCAGTTTCAGATCCCTGACGCTGTTCTGCAGCCCTCTCTCATACAGCGCTTTGAGTCTTGGGATTTCCTCTTGTTCAACAGCTACAATTAGCTTCAGAAAGGACGACAGAGTTCACGAGATATCAGCGTGGTAGTAAACTCATTTGCAAGGCAAGGAGATGCAAAGGAAAAGCTACTTTTTGGTGCATTCATGAACACTAGATCTTACTAAACACATTCCAACACCCAGGCTTTCCTGCCCTTCTACCAGTCGGGGTGTGAAAAAACACCCCCGTGGCCGACATAAGTTTCATTGACAAAATTGTCAGTGTGGACAGTGCTTTGTCAAAGGGAGAGGATCTCTTGCCGACATAGCTATTGCCCTGCATTGAAGATAGTTTAATTATGCTGGTTGGAGAGCTCTCTCGCAACGGCATAGAGTGACTACACCTCGCTGTGCTGCTGTAAGGTCTGTGCAGTAACCACAGCCTCAGAGAGCACCACCACGCTTCAAGGAAGCCTGAAAAAGAGGCGTTTAGCCCAAATGTACGTGTACCTCCATGGAAGACATTTACAACTACAGGCTGAAGCTCTGAAATCCGGCACTCTCGGGTCTGGCAACATGAGTGGTCCAGCAAGACCACGGATATTCCTGGATCAGAAAGCCCAGCTGGCAGCAGGGGCAACCAGGGTCAGGAGCATACCTTGGCCAGCAGCAGCAGGTCTGGCAGTCGGGAGCCTCTGTCGGGCTGGTGGCTGGGAGTGTGGCCCGAGTCAGTGTGGTGCGGAACAGCTGGCAGGGCGGGGAATGCAACTGGTGCCGGCAGCAGCGGGGCTGGTGCGGCAGGGAGCAGAGGTCAGGTCCGAGAGCAGATCCCAGTGGCTGGGACTAGAGCTCCAGAGGGCCAGCAGTGGTGGGAGCCTTGACCTCCCCTGACCCGGCAAATTCCCTGGGTCAAGATCGCTCGGTCCGAAGGGTGTCGGACCAGGGAGGTCCAACCTGTAGTGCCAAAGATTGGAGTGTGAAGGAGGCAGGGAGGTGGGACTCTTGTAAAAATAACATTTAACTTCACCTAACGGGAGAGTCTGAGCTGTATATGGAGAAGGAAGCAACTGACACAGAGGGAGGTGTCTTACCATGGAGTCTAAACTACAGGGCAGTGTCTAGACTGGCCAGTTTTTCCAGAAAATCAGCCACTTTTCTGGAAATCTTGCCAGCTGTCTACACTGGCCGCTTGAATTTCCGCAAAAGCACTGACTTCCTACTGTAAGAAATCAGTGCGTCTTGCGGAAATACTATGCTGCTCCCATTTGGGCAAAAGTAAAAGAGCCAGTGTAGACAGCTGAGATTTGTTTTGCGCAAAAAAGCCCCGATTGCGAAAATGGCGATCGGGGCTTTTTTGCGGAAAAGCGCGTCTAGATTGGCCACGGACGCTTTTCCGGAAAAAGTGCTTTTGCGGAAAAGCGTCCGTGCCAATCTAGACGCTCTGTTCCGAAAATGCTTTTAACGGAAACTTTTTCCGTTAAAAGCATTTCCGGAAAATCATGCCAGTCTAGACGTAGCCCAGCTGTTGTCACCTCATCTCCGCAGATTATTACCTTGCAGTTTTTGGGCCCAGAGGAGGAATTAACTTGAGTTCCTGCCAAAAAAGAGGCGGAAGTCTCGCTCCCCCTGCAGGCGTTCACCATGTCTGCACACCGATGTTCACATGAAAGCACTGCCTTGGCACAATGACCACAGCCGTGGTTATGGTAACGTTACCCTGCCCACCGCCCTACTTTCCAAAGCCAGAGGGAGAAGTTGCATCCACTGCTGTACCTTGCCACACTGTTTGTAGGGGATTCCCTTTTGGTCGCAGTACTCATAGCAGAGGGCGGCACCCTGCACACACAACCTCGCTTTCAGAGATCCGGGTGTGTAGTAAATCCCGCTGTGAATCACACCGCTGTTATGTCCGCTCTGGTGGCAAGCTAAAGACGGAGAAGAAGTTAACGTTACTAAAATACATGCTCCCCATATCTTCCATTCACATGCTGCTTTAATTCTTTCAGCCACCGGAAGAAGGATCAATTTAAGGCGATGCCCTAATTAGACTCTGCAACAATAATTTATCTTAAAGTAATAACATTCCACTCCAGGAGATTCTTCCCTTCCTCCAGGATGGCCAAGAAAATACCGACAACTAGACAACTACCATCAGAGTGTATGAAGCATGGAATCGACAGGAAAGTGTACTAAAGATTTGCTCCAAGGATCCATATGACAAGGTGGACTAGATCTGGAGGCCCCCTGCTGGAGACTTCATGTCTCTGCCTCAGCCAGCTCCGGAAAAGAACAATAGAGAGGTCCTCCAAGCTGCTCAGAGCGACCGTGTGAGACAGAGTCAATGAGAGGGGCTGCAGGAACAGCCAATCAGAGTCCAATGGGCTCATATAAAAGGAGCTGAAAGGGCTGGATAGATGAGTCTGCTCTGAGGATCCAGAGGGGTAAGAGGTGGTCCTGGGTGGCTGCAGGAGCCAAGGCAGATAGTTGCTGGCAGGGACTGGGGAAGTAAGGAAATACCGTCTGACTGGCTGCCAGGACTCAATCAAGATGGGCTATGGGGTAATGGCACAGCAACACGTAGTTACTTAAAGGGATGTGTCAGGTAGCTGCTATTTAGAGGGTTCCTGGGCTGGGACCCAGAGTAGAGAGTGGGCCCAGGTCCTAAGGTTGCCAACTGTCTAATTGCACAAAACCGAACACCCTTGCCCATCCCAGAGCAGGAACCTTTGCCCACAAGCCAGCCAGCTAGGGTACTGAGTTAGGCCCTGTGGGTTAAACTGAGGGCTGGAGCCCAGGAGGGCCACAGTGACATTGCCAACGGAGGGGCACCACGAGACGCCCCGTGGAACTGTGAAGGGACTGAGCCTAGGGAGGGCTACAGGACAGCACGGAAGGCTCTGAGATACGCCTGGTTGGACAGCGTACTCCAGAAGAGGTTTGTTTTGTTCGCATGTGGACTGTGGGCATAGGTGCCAACTTCCCCTCTAGTCAGGGGGTGTTTGACCTCTTCACTCCACTCCAGGTCCCATCCCCACTTCTCCCCGTCCCCCAAGCCCTGCCTTGCTCTGCCTCCTCCCACCCTTGTTCCACGCTTGCTCTGCCCCCATTCCACCCAGACCCTGCCCTGCCTGCTCCCGGAGCTTCCTGGACATTGTGAATCAGCTGTGTCAGGGGGCTCTAGAAACGCTGGGAGGGCAGGAGAGGAGTTGGTCAGAGGGGCTTCTGGAGGGCAAGAGGGGCAGGAAAGTGGGGACTTAGGATGCTATTGGGTGCTCAGCCTCCACTAATTTTTCCCTAGGGGTGCTCGGTGTGAGTGACTCGGATAGAGGGCTAAATCACCAAAGACCTGCCCGAGAAGCGCAGGTGGGCGCCATGAGCCGAGACACATGCACACACTCGACCAGGGGGCACTCGCGAGAGGCAGGTGCCACCCTGTCAGAAGCCACAATCATGCACACCTCGGTCCAGGCTTTCCGAATGTTGACAGCCACTGGCTGTGCTCCGTTGCCAGGGTGATTCTGAGTGTCTCGGCCTACTGGCTGCCCTGTGGTTCTCAGCCAAAGGCTTTCAAGCATTGGAGAGCCAGGCCTGACTGTTCCGTTTTCTCTCTTGGGAAGTGAAACAGGGGTGAAAGAGGCAGGTTCTCAACATACTTTAATTGACCCAATTTTAATTTCTTATTCAAAAAAGGTTACACACTCTCCCCCTTAAAATGATGGAGCCTGTATCTTACTCCCATTCACTCATCCATCCAACTGAGAGCTTCCTGTTTGAAGACGCATGGCAAGGCAAGGGCAGGAAATACTTGAATATATTAATGGCCTATGTCGCCGGGGTGAGCCCCCTGCGGCCCATGGAGGATCTATGTTTGGCCCATCAGACATTTTGTTTACTGTGGCCCACTTGCAGGATTGCCAGGTTTCTGCCTCTGGAGTTGTTTTCTACCAGTTTTAAGTGACAGGCATGTAAAACAAGAGCACGTGAAGCGAGGTGCGTGCTGACTGAGTGTGAGAGCCGTGTGCTTTCCCTCCGTCCAATCACAGCACTGCTATGTTTCCATTAGCATAACCCTGCACGTTCTAGGTACGCAAGTGCAGGGAGCAAATCCATCCAATCCCGGGAGACCGTCTAGGTTACGATAATCTTGCGGCCCACTGAAATGAAGGGGGCCCACTCACTCGCCTAGGTTGCCCATCACTGGTATATAGCAACAAAGACCCAGTTAATGTGTGCATTTAAGACATTCAGCTGGTTAAACATTACTAGGGTTGCCAGGTGACCAGTACTGACCCGGACAGTCCGGTATTTTTGCCTCCTGTCTGGTAAAAAAAAATTCAGAAAATATCGGACACCTAAAATGTCCAGTATTTTCTGATTTTTTCCAAGCCAGGAGGCAAAAATACCAGACTGTCCGGGTCAAAACCAGACACCTGGCAACCCAACACTCAGCAACCATGCCCAGACCTCTCCATCCCCCCCCACCTTACTTGGTTCTGCAGGGGAGCTGTCTGGTTTTTTTTGCTCAACAACTTTGGTCTCCTCCCTTTTTTTTCTCAACAGAATTTTTTCCCCAGTGGTTTTTTTTTGGGGGGGGGGGGAGTTGTTTTAGTATTTCTGGTTAAACCATCTGGGAACCCTAAACATTACCCAAACACACATGAGGTCACACTATGCTAAGTCAGCAGTTTGATTTATCCTCATGCTCTGTGCTCATCTTTAGGGGTTCCGCATAAGCACTTAGCCACAGGGAACTGATCATTAGCAAAGCAGTTGTATTTGTAAGTTCTTCTTACTTAGCTGAAGAACAAATAGCAAAACAAGGGTGCTTAGCTTGTCTTGTTGCAAGTCTGGATAAAAAACAGGCCCTGGTGTGTCTCAATATTCCAATTGCCCCTATTTACTATCAGTAGTGTAAACAGACAAGTCCCATTGGCATCACGAACTAAACCCTGCAGGTAGTCATTGAAATAATTATTTTAGCTTTGGCCTTCAAAGCAAGACTTCTGTATGGATCATCTCTATGTTAAGAGCCAGGAAATAGGTGAAAATTACTAGAGCCTTATCAGTCTCAGATGTCTGAGGAGGTGCCTTAGGTGTCTTGGCATTTTTTAAAATCATCATGATGCAGCAGTCATGATGAATGTTCCAATTTTTTTCCATCCATGTGTGGAATAAATTGTGTATGTGCACCAAGGCAAGTGCAGATGTGCACCACCAGTACAAACACATGCTGCTGTCTGTGGGCTGCTGTCTGTATCTCTCCGGGGTGGCTGCCCAAGTGCTCAGATTACAGGGAATGCTGGTCATGGTAAATTTAGTAAAAGTTGCATTGTTTACGATTTTTGATTAAAAATGTCATGACAAAGGAAGAGGTCAGAGATGGAAGACGGCTGAGAGCAAGCCTCTCCTGCATTCACCGGTGAGACAGAGGGGCCTGAGTGGTGCCAAGTCGTAATGCCATTCTCTCAAATTTGCCCAGCTGGCTGCCCCCATCATGACAGGGGCAGCCGGGCCAAACCTCAGCAGTGCTGCAACTCAAACCCCAGGTCACAATGCCTGGTGCAAGCAGCCAAGCAGGACGGGGGCCACAGGATGAGTTTATTAAACTCGTGGCCACAAAGACAAGTCACAGACAAAAGTAGAGCCAGAATATCCACGGACAGAAATTCGTATCCGCTGCTCTGCGGGGCTCTCCTCCCAGGAAATGCAGCTCCTCCCAGCCGTGTGGCTGTATAGCCCCTCCTCAGAGACGAGACACATTTGGAGGTGTGTCTGGGAGTGATACAGCTGCACAGTCGGAGGGAGCTGCCGGCACAGAGTGCTGGCTCCTGGGAGTGGCAACACCACACTCCTCTCCTTTGGTCATTGCATCACCTGGAAATACAGCCCTGCGGATTAGCAGATACCAATTTCTATCCTTGGATAGGCATTTGTAGCTGCGCAGGACTCTACAGCTACAGACAGCAACGGTACCTTTTGCTGCACTGATGTTATTTACCGCTTCACATAACACAAGAACTAGGCATCAGGTTTAAAACAAACAAGACAACCTGTGGAACTCATTGCCAGGGTATGTTGTGAGGGTCAAAAATATAACAAAGTATAAACTAATGTGATTAGTCCATGGGGGTTATGGCCATGAATGACGATAAGCCAAGATGGTCAGGAATGCAAACCCATGCTCTAGGTGCCCCTAAACCTCTGACTGTAAGATGCTAAGCTTGGATGACAGGGACTGGATCACTCAGAATTGCCCCATTCTGTTCTTTCTTTCTGAATCACCTGGCACTGGCCACTGTCAGAAGATAGGCTACTGGGATAGATGAACCATTTGTCTGAGCCAGCATGGTCATTCTTGTAGTTTTTTTGACTAGTTGGGACAAATTCCCAGTCAAGAGAAGGCCAAAAGAAGCTATTATACCCTTCCCTCCTCTGTTTCCTCTGAAAAGAGGAGACTAAGGGGGGATAGGATAGAGATCTATAAAATCATGACTGGTGTGGAAAAAAGCGAATAAGGAAAAGTTATTTACATATTCCCACAATATAAGAACTAAATGAAATTAATAGGCAGTAGGTTTAAAACAAACAAAAGGAAGTTTTTCTTCAATCAGCGCACAGTCAACCTGTGGAACTCCTTGCCAGAGGATGTGGTGAAGGCTAAGACTTTAACAGGATTCAAAAAAGAGCTAGATAGATTCCTGGAGGTTAGGTCCATCAATGGCTATTAGCCAGGATGGGTATTAATCGTGTCCCTAGCCTCTGTTTCTCCAGAAGTGGGTGACAGGGGAGGGATCATGTGAGGATTATCTGTTGTGTCCCCTCCCTGTGGGGCATCTGGCATTGGCCACTGTGGGCAGACAGGATAGTGGGCTGGATGGACCATTGGTCTGACCCAGTCTGGCCGTTCTTATGTTTGTACAGTCCATTGGCAGGTCTGCACTGTGAAATTCTTCTAAAGGGGAACACTTTCATTTCTGCAACAAGGACATAGGGTTTCCAGGTATCCAGTATTCAACCAGACAGTCTTGTTTTTGCACCCTCTGTCCAGTAAAAAAAAATCAGAAAATACACGACATGTGCAATATCCGGTATTTTCTGGTTTTCCAGCTGGGCACTCAATGGAAGCTGGCGGGGGTGGGGGTAAAGGCTGGGAGGCGGGGCCGCGATCGGCGCTGGGAGCACGTGGTTGCATGCAGAAGCCGGGGAGGAGCGGCTGGGAGGCGGGGCCGCGATCAGCGCTGGGAGCGCATGGTTGCATGCAGAAGCCGGGGAGGAGCGGCTGGGAGGCGGGGCCGCGATCGGCACTGGGAGCCTGTGGTTGAATGCAGAAACCGGGCGGGGGTGGGGGGAAAGGCTGGGACGCGGGGCCGCGATCAGCGCTGGGAGCGCATGGTTGCATGCAGAAGCCGGGGAGGAGCGGCTGGGAGGCGGGGCCGCGATCGGCACTGGGAGCCTGTGGTTGAATGCAGAAACCGGGCGGGGGTGGGGGGAAAGGCTGGGACGCGGGGCCGCGATCAGCGCTGGGAGCGCATGGTTGCATGCAGAAGCCGGGGAGGAGCGGCTGGGAGGCGGGGCCGCGATCGGCACTGGGAGCCTGTGGTTGAATGCAGAAACCGGGCGGGGGTGGGGGGAAAGGCTGGGACGCGGGGCCGCGATCAGCGCTGGGAGCGCATGGTTGCATGCAGAAGCCGGGGAGGAGCGGCTGGGAGGCGGGGCCGCGATCGGCACTGGGAGCCTGTGGTTGAATGCAGAAACCGGGCGGGGGTGGGGGGAAAGGCTGGGACGCGGGGCCGCGATCAGCGCTGGGAGCGCATGGTTGCATGCAGAAGCCGGGGAGGAGCGGCTGGGAGGCGGGGCCGCGATCGGCACTGGGAGCCTGTGGTTGAATGCAGAAACCGGGCGGGGGTGGGGGGAAAGGCTGGGACGCGGGGCCGCGATCAGCGCTGGGAGCGCATGGTTGCATGCAGAAGCCGGGGAGGAGCGGCTGGGAGGCGGGGCCGCGATCGGCACTGGGAGCCTGTGGTTGAATGCAGAAACCGGGCGGGGGTGGGGGGAAAGGCTGGGACGCGGGGCCGCGATCAGCGCTGGGAGCGCATGGTTGCATGCAGAAGCCGGGGAGGAGCGGCTGGGAGGCGGGGCCGCGATCGGCACTGGGAGCCTGTGGTTGAATGCAGAAACCGGGCGGGGGTGGGGGGAAAGGCTGGGACGCGGGGCCGCGATCAGCGCTGGGAGCGCATGGTTGCATGCAGAAGCCGGGGAGGAGCGGCTGGGAGGCGGGGCCGCGATCGGCACTGGGAGCCTGTGGTTGAATGCAGAAACCGGGCGGGGGTGGGGGGAAAGGCTGGGACGCGGGGCCGCGATCAGCGCTGGGAGCGCATGGTTGCATGCAGAAGCCGGGGAGGAGCGGCTGGGAGGCGGGGCCGCGATCGGCACTGGGAGCCTGTGGTTGAATGCAGAAACCGGGCGGGGGTGGGGGGAAAGGCTGGGACGCGGGGCCGCGATCAGCGCTGGGAGCGCATGGTTGCATGCAGAAGCCGGGGAGGAGCGGCTGGGAGGCGGGGCCGCGATCGGCACTGGGAGCCTGTGGTTGAATGCAGAAACCGGGCGGGGGTGGGGGGAAAGGCTGGGACGCGGGGCCGCGATCAGCGCTGGGAGCGCATGGTTGCATGCAGAAGCCGGGGAGGAGCGGCTGGGAGGCGGGGCCGCGATCGGCACTGGGAGCCTGTGGTTGAATGCAGAAACCGGGCGGGGGTGGGGGGAAAGGCTGGGACGCGGGGCCGCGATCAGCGCTGGGAGCGCATGGTTGCATGCAGAAGCCGGGGAGGAGCGGCTGGGAGGCGGGGCCGCGATCGGCACTGGGAGCCTGTGGTTGAATGCAGAAACCGGGCGGGGGTGGGGGGAAAGGCTGGGACGCGGGGCCGCGATCAGCGCTGGGAGCGCATGGTTGCATGCAGAAGCCGGGGAGGAGCGGCTGGGAGGCGGGGCCGCGATCGGCACTGGGAGCCTGTGGTTGAATGCAGAAACCGGGCGGGGGTGGGGGGAAAGGCTGGGACGCGGGGCCGCGATCAGCGCTGGGAGCGCATGGTTGCATGCAGAAGCCGGGGAGGAGCGGCTGGGAGGCGGGGCCGCGATCGGCACTGGGAGCCTGTGGTTGAATGCAGAAACCGGGCGGGGGTGGGGGGAAAGGCTGGGACGCGGGGCCGCGATCAGCGCTGGGAGCGCATGGTTGCATGCAGAAGCCGGGGAGGAGCGGCTGGGAGGCGGGGCCGCGATCGGCACTGGGAGCCTGTGGTTGAATGCAGAAACCGGGCGGGGGTGGGGGGAAAGGCTGGGACGCGGGGCCGCGATCAGCGCTGGGAGCGCATGGTTGCATGCAGAAGCCGGGGAGGAGCGGCTGGGAGGCGGGGCCGCGATCGGCACTGGGAGCCTGTGGTTGAATGCAGAAACCGGGCGGGGGTGGGGGGAAAGGCTGGGACGCGGGGCCGCGATCAGCGCTGGGAGCGCATGGTTGCATGCAGAAGCCGGGGAGGAGCGGCTGGGAGGCGGGGCCGCGATCGGCACTGGGAGCCTGTGGTTGAATGCAGAAACCGGGCGGGGGTGGGGGGAAAGGCTGGGACGCGGGGCCGCGATCAGCGCTGGGAGCGCATGGTTGCATGCAGAAGCCGGGGAGGAGCGGCTGGGAGGCGGGGCCGCGATCGGCACTGGGAGCCTGTGGTTGAATGCAGAAACCGGGCGGGGGTGGGGGGAAAGGCTGGGACGCGGGGCCGCGATCAGCGCTGGGAGCGCATGGTTGCATGCAGAAGCCGGGGAGGAGCGGCTGGGAGGCGGGGCCGCGATCGGCACTGGGAGCCTGTGGTTGAATGCAGAAACCGGGCGGGGGTGGGGGGAAAGGCTGGGACGCGGGGCCGCGATCAGCGCTGGGAGCGCATGGTTGCATGCAGAAGCCGGGGAGGAGCGGCTGGGAGGCGGGGCCGCGATCGGCACTGGGAGCCTGTGGTTGAATGCAGAAACCGGGCGGGGGTGGGGGGAAAGGCTGGGACGCGGGGCCGCGATCAGCGCTGGGAGCGCATGGTTGCATGCAGAAGCCGGGGAGGAGCGGCTGGGAGGCGGGGCCGCGATCGGCACTGGGAGCCTGTGGTTGAATGCAGAAACCGGGCGGGGGTGGGGGGAAAGGCTGGGACGCGGGGCCGCGATCAGCGCTGGGAGCGCATGGTTGCATGCAGAAGCCGGGGAGGAGCGGCTGGGAGGCGGGGCCGCGATCGGCGCTGGGAGCACGTGGTTGCATGCAGAAGCCGGGCGGGGGCGGAGGAGTGGTGGGGGGTGGGGCGCGATCAGCGCTGGGAGCCCTCAGCTGGTTGCGTCTGACGTAAGAGTGACGCCGTGGGGAGGAGGAGAAGCCCCGTCCCTGCTCCTGAGCGCTATTCAAGCACGGTGCGGCACCGCAGTCCAGGAGAGAAGCCTGCACGTGCTTTGTGGTTGCGTTTAGGCGCCTTCCATTGGCCCTCAGCCAAAACTGACTGGGGTGGAATTTCTGCTTCTTCCCACTGGAACACCCAAAGACCTGGCTATGGGGGAGTCACCTTCCTACCCAGGGTCACCCCCCCCCCCGCCATTGCGTTGCTCCGGGGTCTGCCTCTCTGCTTTGGGTAGCAAGCGGCTGCCTCCCCCTTCGTTCCCAGCTTGGGGACCCCCGCCCGCTCTGAGCTGTATAATCCGGCCGGGGGGAGGGGAGCTGGGCTAGACTCAAGCGCTTTGTGACCCAGGCTCCCTTGTATGGGCAGGGAACACGGAGCTCTTCTTTTGTGTTGCACCCCCTCGCCCCAAGCCACGTGCAGGCCTGAGCATTAAGAGCTAGCGTTTGTGTTTGGTGTTGGGTTTTTTTTTTTTTTTTTGCTCGACACATTTTTAGCCCGTGTGTTCGGTATTTTTGGGGAGACCATCTGGCAACCCTCCAATGGCAGGAAGATACTGTTTCCCGCTCATTAAAACAGCCTCCCTTTGCTAGTTTTGTCTCAGTTCAATGCCCTTAACATTGTTTCTGTGTGTGTGTTAATTAAAGTGTCTTACAGACTGATACCAGGAAACCAGATATAAACACTGGAAGAAAATGCCCCCCTCATCTTTGTCACTCGCTGATATGAGAACATGGATACCATACCTAACTCTTCCTCTTTTTCCAGCACACTGAATTTGAGCAATGGGTGTCGCAGAATGAGCTCTCGGGCAGACGCGAGCCCCACAATTCCACCGCCGACAACCACCACATCAAAAGTGCTATTAAAAAACAAACACACAACAGGGTCATGTTGTAAGAGCTCAACAGTCACATGCTTCACATTTATCTGGAAAGAAAGTTCATCTTAGCAAATGAGCGTTAGAAACATTCTTGAAGACCCACTTTTCCGGAAACCCCTACAAGAAACCAGCTGACTGAATCATCCACTGAGTTACCTTTGAGTGACCTGCTCACTGATGCTGAGGACAAGTGGGAAGAAAGAGGGATGGCGTTAAAAAAACCCACCACAGGAAGTAAAGCTGAAAATTGCTGTGTGAGGAAGACTAGGCAGTTGGAGAGGGCAGTATACACTGAGAAAATGTATAGTTCAGTGTTAAGAAAAGATTAACAAATCTGCAGGCATATGTCTATATTCCCCCTGATCACACGACTCATGTTTCATTTTGTCCAACCTTCCTCTGTCTTGTTGTTTTAGAGTGTATATTCTCCAGGACAGGGCCTGTATGTACTTGTGTTTGGAAAGTGCCTAGTATGTTTTAGGCGCTATCAAAATAACTAATAATGCTAAGAATGCAGTAGACCAGGACTACTCAACTTTGGAAGCCCTGGGGGCCACAACGATACTCACAGCAAATGCGGAAGGCTGCAACTGAAGTGTGGTTGCATATACATGCAAATATATACGCAAATATATGCAAATAGCTTATTTCACACAATGCCGCGGCATTCCCGGCATGTCCTCCCTGGGGTCTAGAAACGCCAACCTCCTGTACCCGTCTGTTCCAGCCAGCCCATCTGCTTGCGTCTTTCAATGCTTACCCTGCCTGGGAGACGCCTCGCCGTTGTGGAGCGTGTTCCCAGTGGAGGCCATGTTCAAAGGATCCCACCCACGGGCCGCGTGTTGAATAGCCCTGCAGTACACAGTCAAACTGCTTGCTCCTCTCTCTTTTGATAGATGCAACTTTCCCTTCGATTATTTGGAAATCAGCAAGTCCAAGGCTTCAACCCGACAGCATCAGGTTATTCTTTGTGAGCATTTCTGACAGGCGCGGGGAACCTTTCTGGGTTGGGGTCACTGACGTGGCCCCTGACTGAAAAGGAGAAAGATGATCCCCAAATTCCCCATAAACAGCAGAGCCTAGGGGGGCCCAAGCTAGTAGATTTGGTGTGCTTCCTGTAGTCAGCCACTGGTCAGTTTCAGCAGCGGCTGATGTGGGGACGCCTGGGGCAGAGCAGCTGGGGTGCTGCTGGGTTGGTTCAGTAGCACCGCTGCTCCTCGGCGCTACTAGACCAACCCAGCAGCACCCAAGCTGCTCTGCCCCAGGCGTCCTGATTCAGCCGCCGCTGCAACTGACCAGCAGCTGACTCCGGGAAGCCCGAGGCAGAGCTGCTCTGCCCCTGGCTTCCCGGAGTCAGCTTCTAGTCAGTTTCAGCAGCGGCTGACTTGGGGACGCCTGTGGCAGAGCAGCTGGGGTGCTGCTGGGTTGGTCTGGTAGCGCCGCCCCTTGACGCTGTGGGACCAACTTGGCAGCACCCCAGCTGCTCTGCCTC